ACATTTAATGCATCTTATCCACGGTTCACCTTTTTTATCGCTTAAATAAGTTTGATTGCAATAGAGGCACTCACAATCATCATCACTATCTTCTTCATCTGTGGAGACAGTCAACGGCTCATCAATATTTTCTTCACTTGATTCTGAAGACGAATCTGTTATCTTCTTTCTCTTACCTTTTGTTTTGTTAGGTGGTGCTTTTAATTTTGGATTTATATTTCTCTTAACACTTTTGCTCGCTTTGACTTCTTTTTTTCTTTCCTTTTCTGCAATGTCTTGAGACAACTGATCCTTGTATGGCGAACTTGTAATTACTGCAGCTGGATGGCTTGGTCGTCCTCTACATTTAACACTGTGAGTTTTTGGTTTTATAAAAGAAGCGGGCTGATATGAACTGGCATTATTCTAGAAGGATAAGGGCTGCTTGGTCCTGACTGTTCCGAGACATTTTTTTGGCAAATGTGGTTAGGTCCTGGTTTATAAATAGCAGCGACAGCTCGCTGAATATTACTAGGTCCAGGCTGCTGAATATCATCAAGAATAACTGATGGAGGAGCGCTGCTGGACACTGACTGTTGAACGTCTACTTCTGACTCAAGTTTCGAGGGCAACGAACTCATGAGCTTGGAAAATATTGCGGTTTAGTGGAAATAATCCGGTCTTCCTGAAACCGTTTTCTGCAGTAGCAACTGTTGCTGCCTTGTTATAAGCTTCACCAAAAAGTTTTCCTATTTGATAGTGGGTTATAGCTCTATATGAATTGTGCTTTAACCATGATTCTATAGCTTGTGCATAATAAGTCTTAAAAGGTGCCATGAATGACCTATCAAGAGGTTGCATTTTATGGGAACAATGGGGTGGCAAACTTACAATATGCACCCCATTATCTCGGGCCAACTCTAGCAATGGCAGATTTCGTGTGTGAGAATAATGGCCATCTAATATCAAAACCACTGGATCGTTCTTGGTAGGCTTTACATTTGCCAAAAATTGTTCCATAAACCATTTTTGGAAACTTTCCGCTTCAATCCATGCAGATTTATGGCACGCTGCTGAACTTCCATTTGAAGCGCCGTCCAATAGCTCTGGTTTCATATTTTTTCTTGGAAATACCAAAAGGGGCGGGATATAATGGCCTGTTGCACTCATATATGTAACCATCGTTACTAAGGAACCCCTCTCTGCAGAGGAAATGGCTCCAACTTGACGTTTGCCACGTAGAGATATCACTTTACTAGTTTTGTGTTGTACAATGGTTAAACCAGTTTCGTCGCAATTGTACAATTTGTTTGGGGAATTCTTAACAACATAAAGAGGCTCATACAGGTCAAAAAAAGCTTTTACGTTCTTTTTGCTAAATCCCGTAATTCTTTTTAAAGATGTGGCCTGTGGTTTTCTTAAACTAAGTCGTGGATGCCTTCTCATAAATGAACGTAACCACTTCCATCCTGCTGCTTCATCTTGCTTGCGAAATGGGTGCTAAAGTCCATTTTTTTCAGCTAATTGGAACGCCATTCTTTTTACGTCTTTTGCTGTTAGTCCATAAAACCGAGATTCCATTTCCAAACAGTACGTTACTAATGCTTCTTCTAACTCTATATCGAGTGTAGGTTTTCTACCAAGCTTTATAGATACTAACTTATTGACATCCTCTTCAGCACTGTTCACTTTGTCTTCTAATGTTGACTTAGGTACACTAAAATGTTTCGATGCACGTAACAGGCCCATTTCTTTGGCTCTAACAGTTAATATTGCTCGTTTCATGCTTTCTGTCGACCACTGTTTCCTTTTTTTAGGCGGCATCTGTAATTAAAAATTTTTGTTATGATTTAATCTACACCAAACTATAGTATTTTTCACAAAATATATGTTAGGTCGAAGTAACGACAGGCGTAGATATCCCCCTTACAAATCTACAAACTATAGTATTCCTAATATCGCACAGTGCGATATTATGACATTAGGAATAGTGCGATATTAGGAAAACTTGGGACCAAAAATATTTTTTTAATATTGTCGAAACAACGAACTCAATTAAAAATCAAATATAACTATTAAAACTACAACATTCAATAATGTCTCTGGAACAGTTCAATTATAAAAAAACTTACCGTTGCTAGTAGAAGAAAGTAGTAGAAGATAACCCCAAAAAAACTTTTCGCGCGTAAAATATTCCAATAATTCACAGAGCTAACATACTCGTTGTTATCACTCTTAATTCTTATTCTACACTAACAAATGAGCCTGCAGAACTTGTTTAGCCGCCTGCAGGTAGTTTATAGCAATGACGTAGAAAATATTATGGTGTGCGATATTAGGAAGATGTACGATATTAGGCACATTTCCCCTACATTTTAATAATATAGATCAAAGTTTTAAAGACGGTCAGTCATCAATTGAATTTGAATCTTACATAACGAACGTTTCGATAATGGATTTTTAAATAAAATTAATGAAACTCTAGTTAATAGTTTATCTATTAGAAAAAAAAACCTAAGCTTTTTAATAGAAAACAGAAAAGTAAAATTTGCAAATTAAAAAAGACCCTATAATTAATTCCTAATGTAACGTTTAAACTGCAGTCAAAATTTCAGAATCAAAGATATTTCAACAATTTAATTCAAAACTATTATAATGTAGGTTTGTTCAGGTTTCTTTAAAACTCGATACAAACTGTCCGAGAACCAGTGAAACAGTTTAATTCCAAATTATTTGTCGCATACAACTATTAAACTGTCCACTGGTCAAATAGTCTTCTGATAGTTGTCAATGTATTTTTGAAGAACCCGGACAGACCTAGTATGAGGATGTGTCAATATTTTAAAGACCAAAAAGATAAACAAAATTATTGAAGTTAGTGCATTTAATTTTTTTTCTGTTTCAATTTATATGGATGGTTGCCTTTTATCGTATTTCCCAAGATTCAAGAAGAATATTTTTTTTAGTTAGAAAATTTATTAGGCATTAGTTTTTTCAAATGAAGTACATGAATTATTTGTTTTGCAATTTCTGATTTTCATTATTTTAACCGAAGATAGTTAACGTACACCTAAATAATAATGTAATATTTGTGATATTAGAGTAACTTTCTTAACGATAATAAATATTTGGAGTTAATTTATAATAATAGAATTTGTTTTTAAGTCAAACTCATTAGATAATCCTTAGAAAATAACATTTTCGTGAAATTAGGAGTAGTTTTTATAGAAACTAGTAAACATTTGTAAAAATAGATTGTTCTTTGTATGGAAATAAACTAATATATACTAGTAATGATGGTAGGTCGGGTTATCCGGGTTTTCCTCACCTGCAAATAAAATGGCACTATCGGTTGTCTTTAAGTGGGCCCAGAGTGCCATAGCAAATAATAATAACTATTCTTGTCACTCACAAGCTCTTCTTGGGGTTTAACTCATGTAGGGTGAAGTGTAGGACAATCATTGTTATTGTTGTATTGCCATTAATTTGATTTATTTTTCTTGGGAATTTTTAGTAAATATAATAATATAAAGTTTTGTATGGAATTTATTTTACACCTCATAATTATGTCATAGAATTTTACATTTTTATTGGCATTTCATAATTCATCATAAAAAAGAAAAAATGTAATTATAATTAAGAGGAAAATTAAATTCAGCAATTATCTTTTTCTAACCAACACAAAATAGAGCCATAAACATTTCTATAGTTTATTTTATTTTTTTGTGAATGAAAAATATGTACCTTTGATTTATTTATTTTCTCAAAAATTAAGAAAATCTTTACGCAAATAAAATTTTGCTATTTTTGCCATGAAAATTTAAGGTTTAACTACATGTACAGTTTTTTATTTAATTAAAAATGAAAAAAAAAAAGATCTGAAATTTTGCATGGTTATATTTCGTATTAGATAGAAAATAATAATTGCTAAAGTAGATTCTCCTTTTAGTAGAAAAGAATCCCGCCAATTTTCAAATTAAATATATTACGGGTAACTACATTACCGACAGAGTAATAGCGTAATTAATAATACAGGTAACTACGTTACCGACATAGTAGGATTAGTTCAACCACCGGCACTTACAGGTCGCTGCAAGCAAACTTGTTGGGAAATTTCTACAAAGACACGGCAACTCTTAACTACTATCCTTCCTCCATAGTAATGAGGTGAGGCGCGCTAATCGGTTTATACATTACCCCCACAAGAATAGTTTTGATCGTATGCGAGCGCTTCAATGACTATTTCTGACACGATCTGTGGCGTTCCACTGCGTACGCCTAATAATAATATCAATTTTAGCAAAGAGTACAAAATATAACTATAAAAGAGGAGTCACTCGCCCAATTACCGCCTTCTAACGCGATCAGCCGCCAGTCCTCCACAGTCCTTTCTCGATCGGTAGTATACCGGTGTAGTTCAACGCGTAAGGCTCGTTTGCTTCGCTACGTTAGATTTCGCTGTGTATTGGCCGTTACATTCCACTATCATCGCCGCTGCATCTTACCGCTTAACCCCGGTACAGCCCAATTAGCTCTGTACTCTTTGAAAAAACGCCGACTTGTTAACCCGCATTTGAAGCGCGATTTCCTTTGTAAATGCCGCGAGTGACTTCTTTTTTATATTTATATTTTGTACTCTTTGATTTAGTCATTATGAGTTGAAGAATACAGTGGTGTTCTACTGCGAACCCTTAATACAATTACGAATAAACTCTATATATTTTTTGGGGCATTATTTAAATTTTCTAAATCTCACGCAAGCCGGATCCGGCCCAGGGGCCTGGGGTTGCCCACATATGTATTGAACTATTGCAAAATTCGATATGGGAAAAAATCTGTAATTTTTAATGATTGTTTCATTGTAAAAATTAATCGACTTTTTATAATGTTCAATCGTAAATTAATATTCCATAATAAAAAATTTGATTTATTTTATCAGGAAATGATAACCCTATTTTAAAATTAATTTAGTTAATAAATACAGTTGTGTGTAAATACTGATGATATTGTGGTTTTTGTAGCTTGGAGCGAATATTATCTACTAATTTATTTTGAAGACAATGACAAAAAAATCGTTGAAAGAAGATGATATCGTATCGTACACGTAAGTGAAGATCCACACGATGCAGCAAAACTTTTAATTTATGAAAAATCTACATTAAATTAATTTATTATAATTTTCCTTCGCTTATCCTTGATATAATTACGTAGTAGTTTCCTTGAAACATACTCATTAGCACTTATTTTTTTCTAGAGTAAACAAAATGACCCATATTTTCTGCTCCTAATCGTATACTAAACCTTTTTATTTATATCATTCCCTTTTTCGTGCTTGTCAGCAACGGAGTAAATTATTTTAAAGTGAAAAGTGATTTAAAAATTAAAAATGCTTAAACAGGCGCATTTTTCTCTAGACCGGAATAAAAATAGTGCAAAAATAAGTTAATACGACAGTTAGGTGAAAAACAGGAACAAATAAGAAGAGTCTAGCTCTAACAAATTATCAACAGGTAAGCAGTTTTTATATTTCATCTTTAACATTAGATATTGTTTATACAGAGGAAAATGTACGTTATCCCTTTTAAATACTTACTGTAAGAATATCGAAAATAAACTATTTTATGCAAATGCAATTATATTTAAAAAGTAAAGATCGTATTATAATAATTCGTTTACCATTCTAAGCATACTTTCGCTATCTTAATGTATTCTCGCGAAACATTCCATAAATAAAGTCTTAAGTTTGTTTGGATTTCGTATTATACAACATCGCTGTCGTCGTCATATTTCTTAAGTAATTTTAAGTAATTTTATGTAAAAATAATGTCTTTTAAAATACCGGGCGGTATTTTCTAAGAGGAAATCGAGGGAAATATTTAATTTTGTCTTTATGGCCCTAATGTTTGAATTAACATAATATATGTTTACTATTCTTGCATAAATATAGATCATTAGGAAGTCGAGCGATTCTTGATGATTTTTCTGTTTTTTACGACCCGCTAACGAAAATCTACAAATTAAAAAAATATTTAAAAAGACAAAATAACTAATTTTTAAATATTTTATAAATTTTACTGATTTTTAAAATCAAATATAAACAAAAAATTACTCCCCAGCCGCAATCGATCCCCGGCTTTTCGCGTGGAAGTCAAGCACACTACCACGCGTCCACGTGCACTTACGATTTTGGTTTTAATACTCGTAATCAGTGATGTAAAATTACCGTAATTTATATTTTTGGTAATTTACGGTGGTAATTTATGGGTTTTAATTATCAAAATTAATTACCATGGTAATAAATTTGTATCGTAAATTACTGTGGTAAATCACCTTAATATATTTTATACACATACATGACCAGTGACGGCTAGTGGGGTGGTTCACAGTGACAGAATATAGGTATCAGTACAGATGTATGAAAAAACTTTCAGTGTTTTAGAAAGTATATAATATACCTTTCTAAAACATTGACAGTTTTTTACCTATATCTGTACCAGGTTCTATATTCTGCTACTGTGAACCCCTGTACATGACTAATAATGACTTCGAAATTAAATTAAGGTGTGTGTCTGTGTCGAACATAGAATTGTTTCATTTGTTTGTGAATAAAACTAATTATTTGTTACTAAATATAATTTAAATTTATGTTTAAGTAATGCAATACGCGAAAGAAAACAAAACAAAACATCAAATGAAATTTTATTGTTTGTGCAGGTGCTTAAGTTCCTCATACTTTCTATAAGAAAATTTATTTAAATTTTATAAGAATTATATACGATTTTGTTTTATTAATTATATATTATGCACTAAATGAGATCCCTAAATCAACTATATTATCTAGTACAGTTTAGCTATCTACTTTAGACCAGTTGGATCCATATTCAGATTCAGACTCCAAAGAAGATTGTAATGAAACGGATGAACATTCCGCTATATTTATATTTTGTTTAATATAAAAAAATTTTTGTGCTCTTTCATTTGTTAATCGTTTCCATTTATTTGTATTGACATTTCCATACGTTAATAAGCTTTGTGTTGTGGCAGCAGTTGACGGTTGGCAGTTTAATACTTCTACAGCTACTGTGCTTAACTTTGTTGTTGAACAAATCGATTTCCACCAAGTCACTGCTAACAGTTTTCCATTTTTTAGACTGGTCCATACAAAGTCTTTAGCAAATAGGACTTCTTTTGATCTATAAATGGCAATACTTTTCTGCAAGTAAATTCCAGCTATGTGTCATGTTTCTTTCATTGTCTGTTGTAATTGACATATTTTTTCTAAGCCTATTTTATCAATTTGTTCGGATATAATGTTGCACATAAAAGTTGCTTCATGACGAGCTGCTTTCGTATTTACTATTTTATATAACACAGGCTCAGGTGTGGTAAGAATAGAATTACCATATTACAAAATACAATTTCCTAACATTCCTAATGAATATGCCGGACAAATTTTTTAAAATCCGAACAAAATAATAAAACTTCAACTTGTAATAATTACTATATGTTTTATTTAAAAAAGTACCTACATATCATCAAAAACTAAGAACAAACAGTTCCTCAGTTACAAAATCTTGAAATTCCCATAAGGAGGACATTAACTATAGATTCATTGCGAATATTAGACCAACCATCAATTTGAATCCCTACAGTCTTAGCAGTATGAATTTTTTCGTTCACGGACTTTTTTACAATGTCATATTCACTGTTTAGTAATTTATTTGATAATTGATGCCTTGAGGGAAGTTTTAATAGAGAGCAGTTATCCAATGCTTATTTTCCCCGAAGTTCGGCGTCGCTTTCGCAAAATATGGTAAATTACAAGAAAATGCCGTATATAATGGTAAATAACGGTAAATAATGTAAATTTTTTACCACAAAAATCGGTAATTTACTTTGTAAATTACGAGTAAATTACTGTTATTAATTTCTGAATAATTACGGTAAATTACCACGGTAATTTATTGGTAATTTACCAGTGCACATCTCTGATAATGGTAAATAACGGTAAATAATGTAAATTTTTTACCACAAAAATCGGTAATTTACTTTGTAAATTACGAGTAAATTACTGTAATTTATTTCTGGTTAATTACGGTAAATTACCACGGTATTTTATCAATAATTTACAAGTTCACATCTCTGCTCGTAATTAAAATAGTTATATATAGTTTGATTAAAATTTAATTTTTTTTTTTAAATATGGTCCAAATAAAAATAAAAATGCTGTTATTTACGATTATTTATCTATACAAAAATAACTACCTAATTTTAATGTATATTTAATCTCAATAACTAAAAAATATACTGACAGTTAGTTTGATAGGATTATCACTTATTTCAAATTCTAAAAATAATAGTAGTTGGGTGTCCAAAATAAGAACTGTGATTGGTGATTTTAATTTTTTGCAGTATTCTCACTATCTAGAATGGATATGAAATATATTCGTACGGTTGAACGCAATGGCATACTTTTTTGTTTTGTAGTATGTGCGTAGATGAGCTAATATTCAGGCAGAGTATCTTAATTATCGTTAGAACATTTTCATTCCGAATTATTACAAGAATTAGAATGGTGGAAGAAAAATGTTGAATAAGGTCAAGCTATACAAGCTAAGCTGTTCTCAAAAAAGCCATTTTTAGATGCTTTACACTGTATCTTTTATACGGTTTTAAATACTGTGAGTTCTGGGACAACCAACCAGGTGGAATCATTAAATATTCATGTAAAAAAAAAGCTATGGAAATTATGTGATTAGTATTTGCCAGTTATATCCACTGAACTATATTATGATGGTGGGTGAGGTTTTCCGGGTTTTCCTTACCTGTAAGTCAAATGGCACCTTCAATCATCTTTAAGTCGCCCCGGAGCGCCACGGTAAATAATAATAATAGCCATCCCTTCCCCTACACAAATCGTTCAGTCGACTTCAGGGGTTGAAATTCACTCGTAAGGGGGTGAATTAGGGAGAGTATTATTATTATAATATTATTACTATTATTATATATATTAAACTGGAAGTTCGAGCCACATAGCGAGTTGATAATTATTGACAAGCTATCCACTTGTGCATATTCAAATATACTAAAAGGCAACACCAAAATTAAATTTAACACTTATTACATTCAACTACAACGCCTTTTAATTTAAGAAAATCACTTAAAAATAATCCTTAATATAATATGCAACTAAAAAAAATGTTCCAATAACAATATTAATTAAAATACCACGATATTAATAAAAAATAATATCGTAGTATGCCCGTGGAAAACGTGACGTAGAACGCTAATTGACAGTCTGGCGTTAAAATTGTCATGTGCATCGTCCGGTTTTTACACCAATATCGGCTTAGAATTTACGAGTAGGGCTTATGATATATGGCCATCCAGGGGGTGTGATTCCGTATCACGATTCGACTCGAATTTGATATTAAACTCCATTCTTTTTAGAATTTTTGTGAAATTCTTTATATTTTACTAATAATAATAATGCCAATTAATACATAGGCACCATATGAGAGGTCTTTTTATTGTTAGTTTTATGGAAAAAAGTTGTTCCTTATAAAAGGTTCTGCATAGTTTAAAACCTACAATACAAGTATCAGATATACACATTTTTAAGCCGTATACGAGATCTGTTAAAAAATATGATTTTGCCCAAGAGTACTTTTATTTTTGACAAACCTCATATACGACTGACAACATTTGATATAAGATGATTAAATTTTAGATTTTAGCATGCACAACTATTTATCAATAATTTTTTTTATTAATATTAATAAAAAAAAAATTAATATGCCGCCAACTTACGTAGCAGTTGATGGCATGTGGAAAGCTTTTTTTATTACTAACAGATATCAAATTTTATCAGTCGTATACGAGATTTGTCAAAAATAAAGGTACGTTACTCTTGAGCAAAATTTATATTTATTGACGCACCTCGTATACGGCTTAAAAAATGTAATATCTTATGGTTGCATTTTCGGTTTTAGACGATGCAGAACTTGTTATAAAGAATAACTTTTTTCCATAAAAATAACAATAAAAAAAGTTTCCTATATGGTTCCGACTTAAATGGACACCCTATAACGTTTAAACCGTTCTTTCCTAAAATACAAAATAAATTAATATTATTTATAAAAAATACTTTTTAAATAAAAGTTATATGAATTATATAAATAAATATTGGATATACAGGGTGTTTTTGTCGTTTATACCAGGCAAATGAATATGTATATTTTTTAAATAGAACTCTGTATTTTATATCACTTTTAGAATGATTTGGTAATAATTTAACTCTAGAATATTTTTTAGAAATATTCCAGATTTGCCAAGCATTTATTTTTTTGTGAAATTAGAGAATAATGTAGAACGAAAATAAAATTTTCCTACGACCACTTAGGAAAGTGAGACATATCACATTATATAAGTCCTATGGAAAGTGCTCTATATCACACGCGTATGAATAAGAATTTACTTTCCACCCGTGTACGAATATGCTACTTTTCGCTTCAGCTGTCACAAAATGTCAAACGCGTCATTTCTATTTTGATCTATGTAATGTCCATATTAATACTAAAATCGATATGACTGTTAAATTATTGAAATTGTTAATTAGATCCTAGATATTTATCTTTAACAATTATTATTAAAATAATTTTAAAATAACTAAGTAATGTTTGCTTTTTATTCTGGTTAAACTCATAACCGATTAGATCCTTCAACTGACTCAAGGCCTATTAACTCAGATGGTTAGAGTTATCAACTTTGCCATTTGAGACCTGGCGAGCAACCGCATTCAAACCCTTGCAGGGGCAGAATTTTTGGTTTTTTAATTTTTTTTTTTTTTAGTTTTTTTGTTTAGAAAATATGAAAATTGAAGAAATACGATTATTGTTGATTATTTTTTTAAATACATTTTAATTATTATAATAACCTGGTTTTACATTTTTTGATGAAATTATTTTATGGTCGTAGGAAAAATATGGTACATCACTTGTGTGAAAAGTGATTTTTCACACTCGTAATGTAATATAATATATCATAATTTAGATAGGTAACCAATGACTTCAAATTGTTTAAAATACAAATTTTTAAAGAACCAAGATAACGAATAGTAATGATAGAACTCGTATTATATAGAGTGTTTTAAAACATGTCATGAAAATATGACTCATTCAAAGTTGAAGTTATCCCTAAACTGTAGGTAGGGGGTGAAACATTTTTTCATAATTCTGGTATTTTAAGATAGTGGTTGTATAGATAATTAAAAATCCAGAAAACTTCGAAAAGTAGACCGACCTTTTTCGCTAATCCCTTTTTTTGTATTTCTTTGCTGCACTGTTAATTTATTGATTATTTCGATATGACAAGGTGCAAGTTGAGGTCGGATATAAAAGGTCTTTTCCTTTGCATCGACAGTGTAGCACTATCCCTCAAACTGTAGGTAGGGGGTGAAACATTTTTCCATAATTCTGGTATTTTAAGATATTGGTTGTATAGATAATTAAAAATTTAGAAAACTTCGAAAAGTAGACCGACCTTCTTCGCTAATCCCTTTTTTTGTATTTCTTTGCTGCACTGTTAATTTATGATTATTTCGATATGACAAGGTGCAAGTTGAGGTCGGATATAATAGGTCTTTTCCTTTGCATCGACAGTGTAGCACTGAGATACGTCACTTCTGAAAATATTGTTCCATCCATACAATTTGTATAAATGGAACGATATTTTCAGAAGTGGTGTAGCTCAGTGCTACACTTTCGATGCAAAGGAAAAGACCTAGTATAGTGAAGAAGGGCTATCCACACTCAACACCCCTGTTTTTAGAGGCCTCAGGAGTAACCTCAAAATAAAATATCATATCAAAAAATGAGGGTTTTTTATTGAATTTATTTTTTATTTAATTATAATGGTACTGAACTGTGTTGTATTGTAAGTATATATATATATATATATATATATATATATATATATATATATATATATATATATATATATATATATATATATATATTGTATTGTATTTTATATTACCTATATTAGTATTAGTTTAGTATTTAGTTCAGTATTTATTTTGCTGCTATTGTTCTACTTAATATTGTATTTTTTTAAACGGGGTTACCCGTGAATAAATAAATAAATAAATGTTTGTGGTCGGAGATACACAATGAACGAATTTATAAAAAAAAATATTAGAACACACAAATGCATGTATGTTTTCTAAAAATGTTCAATAATGATTATGGTCTAATTTCGACCACTGGGCGAATACTAGTAATAATAAAAATATATACCTCATAGTAATTTAAAAAACGAAGAGGTCCGCGAAACAGATGGTCAGAGACGCTAGAGGAACTAGACAATAAGGAAGGTATTAGCAATTAAAAATGAAAAACATACATTAATAGAAACTCAAGCCGTTCTTTCGACACCCTCAAGGATAAACCGAAAAACAAAAAATGAGAAGAAATTAAAATAAATTTAAATTAGAGGAGATAGGAAAGTCCTACCAAAAAGTTGAACCAACCACATCATCCACTTTTCATATGCATCCATGGATTCCAGAGTCTGCTGAGTATACCGATTACAGTGTTATTAAACTACAAGCCTGACTCACATTTGCAACCTTTAAGCTTTTATTTTACTTTTGGAAAAAAATAAAAATAACATGGAGTAAGATCAGGGGAGGGTGTACCTACCATTAAATCTAAGACTAATTTTAAGGTCTATTCTGATTTGTTTGCACTTGCAGTACCTCGTGGCCTACTAGTATAGTATTTAACAGCTTCTCTTTGTCTTGTAGGCACGTAGTGATTGTAAATTGGATCCAACCTGCTAAAAAAAAATTAACTACATAACTGTTCCAGTATTCTTTACTGTTTTAGCTTTCTGTGGACTAAGACTTCCTTTGTGTTTTTATTCAAAGTTTTGATACTTCCATACTATATTCTATTGCAAAAACAAGATTAAAAAATATAGATTCCTCTGCAAACTCCTTTTCTACTGCTGACAAATTGAGATTCCATTTGCTTCTTGATTTATTTTTATTGTGCGATTATAGGTGTTTCAACAGCTGTGTACCTTTATCTGTGATTTTGCGAGGTGTGTTATCTTCAGTGGCGGCTCGTTACAAAAAAATTGGGGTTTACAATGACAAAATATAGATCTCAGTATAGATTCAGGTAAAACACTATCAGTGTTTTGGAAAGTTATATTATGAACACTAAAAGTGTTTTACCTAAATATATACTGTCATTTTCAATCTCCATTATTTTGGTGACTGATTCTCTCAGTAATCATTCGTGGGTTAACAAGAGCTTACTGATTCCATCCGTTGCCAGTGAGATTGGTATTTGGTAGTTTGTCGAGCAGATACTTTGTTATTTCAAACACACGTTCTGGCCCTACTTCGGCCATGTCATCGCCCATTTTAATTCCTTCGGAGCAGTGCCAGACCAGCTTTAACTGCATTCTATTTAAATCAAAGGTTTTCAAGGCAGCTTGGTAATCTGAAGAAATTAAGACTGCCAATTTTGCTTTTGTACATTATTTTTATCTTAGAATAACGAGTATTTTATAATACACGTATCCCATGTGATATGTTAAAACAATAAACTAAATGAACATGACCGTTGTAGTTACTTTTATGACAACTTAAGTATCAGCGCTGTAAAATAGGTCAGTGACATTGTTTAAGGGTTACTACTGAAGTTTTTTTTTATGGATGGATGGCATAACTACCTAAGTTATTAATGTTAATTTTACAAACGATGACATTAATATATTCACGTGGGATACGGGTATTGTTGAAGACTGATGAATATATTTACTAATAAGTAATTATTTACCTCATTCCAGTTGTAGTTGATCTAGAAGAAGTGTTTAATGAAGATAACGCGGGCTGTCATGTGGTCTGAGTCCAAATGTAGTATAGTGGGTTAGGGGCAGTTTAAATGCACTTACTCTGCCTCTTCATTTATGACTAAGTAATAAGGGGAGAAGTATAGATTAATTATTTCCTTATAGACTATCGGTGTACTTTTAACTGCTTCTCTTGTATGCCAGCCTCTGTACTCCTGAGATGATATTGGGGATTGTTTGCTATTTTACTTTTAGCTTTCTAAAAGCGGTTCAATAGTTAACAAAAACCTTGTTAATTCCAAATCCTTTTCTCGGTATACTTTTACACATTGAATAAAGTAAATAAAACAACAATTTTTGTTAAAATAATGTATTTATTACTTAAATAGTTCTAAAATTTGTAAAAAAATATATCATTTACTTTAATAAAATACAGTAATAATGTTTATTATTCGTGTAATAAATAATTCCTATGTATTCAATGCCATTGCAGAATTACATGACAAACCAATAAATACATTGTAATAATTAAAACGCTTGATATCATCACTGGTAATCCAACCCTGAAAACATCAAAACAGTAAAATTATTTATATTTAGGTAATAATTATGTCTTCCGATGTAGGATACATTTAATAAATTCTCCTCAAAATGTTTATCTCTGTGTAGGTACAGGACATTAAGCAATTAATTATATGTACATTACGACAAGATTGAGATAAATCAGTATTAGATACGCAATATTAAATCTAAAATGGGAGTTATCTCAGTAAATGGCTGAACTTCGATGCTACTGTTTCAGTGATATATCTTTACTTGCATATTCTTTTCCATTTCTAATAAATGTCCTTGCCAGTTCATCTGCTTCTTAGATTTTGTTATTATACTGTCTTGATTTAATGTTTGTTTTCTTTTCTTACTTTCTCCAATTTGATTCTTTTTGGTTTAATTTCATACCAAATAAGGTGTGCCCTGTGGAGCAAATGAACAGAATGGCGTTAGCCCGGCATTTACCATCGAAGTGGTACAAGCCCACCAAATGGCCACTTCCAAAAATGGATAATCTAGAGAAATACCTATCCGTGACTTTATTAACCTACAGTATTTTGACCTGAGAGGCTGGCTATCCCTAGTCCCCCTCAAGTGAGAACCACGAGGTTTTTAATGAGTTAATAACCTGCAGAACTTTGATGATCTAGGAAGATAGCTGTCTCTAGATACCCCTTAGCGACAAACAGCAGGTTTTTGACAAGTTGAGAGGCAGGTCCTGTATGTTTCTGGGGATACACAATAGGCCTAATGAGGCTTACGTGATGATGAGTAACCCACCGTTCCTACTCTATAGATATAGAAACTAAAAAGGGTAAATGTTGATTAAAGAACAGTTAATGGTACCCCATAAGCTATGGTTGCAACTCTGACATTTTAAAATATTATTAGGTCCATCCTATAGTAGACAAAACCAACTGTTAATGTAGTTTAGAAGATAACTAAAGATCGTTCTAGAAGTTTTTATGACATACGACATAAATGTAAAAAACTATATAGGACTGATACAGAGAGAGAAATCTATTTTAAAAATGAAATAGTATTTAAAAAACCTATTAGGTATAATTAAAAATTTTACTTACTTTGTGAAATGCATAAAAGTAAATCTGTATCCATGTTGTTCAGCCAACCCTGCGCAAATAATATTCGAAGAGGACCCAAACAACGACCCATTTCCTCCAAAACAAGCTCCAAAGGAAAGCGCCCATATCAGGGGAGGTAATGGTAGATTCAATTCCTCATTGTTAGCCAGATCGGTTGCTATTCTGATCATCATTGTCGTGATCGGTAAGTTGTCTACAAATGCTGATGCTATGGCTGAGACCCATAAGATAAGAACTATTGCGGTGGCTAATCGAGATTCAGGACCCACTGAGGTTATAATGGCTTGCGTCTGATGTCCTATCCAGTCTATAAGACCTAGACGGGAAAGTGCCTAAAATGTAAGATATTGGTTCTGTACTTTATTTTATCGATTTTGGCATGTAACTACAATAATATGCAACACACGTTTTGATTTTTATCTTTTCATGTACTGAAATGCAATGAACAATATACCGAGACGTGTAAGAGTACCGGTTGCGGCCATATGAAGTATTTTTGTTTATTCTAAGTTTTATATTATTAATTATTCATGTTTCATTTGTACCAAATGTAATTTAAAATGTTGTTCTTCATCTAAAGATTAATTTATTTACACAAAAAATGTAAAAAACAATACCTAAAACCACTTTTAAAAAATAAAAGCTAGCAAATCCATTTCTGCCACTTCCGGTCACAGAAGTACCAGTTGGGCCATTATTTGTACCAGTTGAGGGCATAAGTAGTTCTAAGGGGAAAAGCATAAGTTTACTTACTCGTAAAAATATAAAAAAAAAATATTAAAAAACCTATTATGACAAATTAAATTACGTTATTTAAAATAAGAATAAACTAAAAAAATACAGATAGGTACGTATAAAATTTATTAAAAACGGTTTTATACAATAAACCCAAACATTTTAGAAACTGAAAATACACCCCTAGAATTAATTTTCCAGGAAGCGTTATTAATTTTAACAATTTCGACATTTTTATAACATATTTCATCTATTTTTTCGAGCCAATTCCAGTGGTTTAGTGCTTTTGTCATTGTACTTATAAAATATCCATCGCCACTAATTTTTGTTATTACGCCAGGGTAAACGTTGTCTTCATAATTATTAATAACAACATCATGTGTATTTTCTGATCTGTCTTTTTCTTATTCTTCCAGTATTTCTGGTTTTTGTTTCTTAGTTTTTCTTGAACATTGCTTATAATTGGTGTCTGATTGTTTATAGTTGGTGTCTGATTCTTTACAGATTTTGTCTTGTTCTTCATTCTTTTTTATTTCTTTGGATTCTGTATGGTGGTTTTATTTTTGTTTTGCTGTTGTTCTTATTGCTTTCGCTTGTTTTCAGCTCTTATTTTTTATTCTTCTTTATTTTTAAGTTCATTAAGTTTAACAAGTTCTTTTTTTTTTTTTTTATTTTAATCCAACTCGCGCTGTCCAAATACCTTTTGTTCGGGTATCACAAGTTAAAATTGCGATTAAACTAACACATGAAAATTATCGTTTAAAACCAGAGGATGATCTATTAACTCTAATAAGTTTCGGGCCTACGTCAATAGTAGAAAAAGTTCTAGTAAAGTTGCTAATAACATGACCTATGAAACTATTACACTGGATAATCCTTCTAACATACTAAATAATTTTACGGATCTTTTTAGCAAGTCCTACAATAATTCTAAAGTTTCGCGAGTTATTGTGAATGAACTTCAATTAACTTGTTAAAATATTGACAGCTTTGATGCATTAAAATCTATAAAACCTAAGTGTACTACGGAACCCGACCATATTTCTGCATTCATTTTGAAAGATTGCGCCCAAGTACCGGCTTATCCTTTGACAATCCTGATCAGTATCTGCATCTGTTCTAGTACTATCCCGTCCATGTGAAAGAGCTCTAAACTATGTCCGATTTTTAAAAATGGAAATCTAACTGACGTTAAGAACTACCAACCTATTATTTGCAATTTTTGTAAAAAATTGGAAATATTACTAGAAAGCAATATTTATCAACATATAAGTAGTGCGTTATCCACTCAACAACGTGGATTTGTGAAAGGTCAATCAACAGAAACGAATATCTCAGTCATTACTCAGCATACATCAGAAAATATTAATGAACGTATTCAGAGTGATGTTATTTATACATATATCACTAAAGCATTTGACAGACTTGACCATGGAATTTTAGTTAAAAAACTGTCTGTTTTTGGACTCTCAGATAGTCTCATTGTCTTACTAAAATTATATTTGTGACAACCTTAAAATGTATGCTTCCATAAATAGTATTGCTGACTGCGAGAGACTTTCTCAAAATCTAAAACAAGTTAATTAATGGTGCATAGAAATAATTTAAAATTAAACCCAGCCAAGTGCAATATCATGTCATACTCCTTAAAGTCAAATCCAACTTTTTACCAGTATATTGTTGACGAAACTCCCTTAAACAGACCAAAAAAGTTTGCAGATAAAGGAGTCCTATTTGATTCTTCACTTTCTTCTACTGACCATGTCGATAGTATTGCAACCTCATCTAATCCAATGGATTCATAATCAGAAACAGTCGTGATTTTAAGAAAGTAGATAAAAAGTCTATATGATGCTTTTGTCCGATCCAAACTTGAATACGCGTTACTTATATGGAGTCAACTGTATCGAGTGCACATTGGTCGATTGGAAGGAATTCAGAGATGATTCCTAAAATACTTAAAATTTAGATATAATCCAGTTTATCTATCCATTGGCACTTCACACGACGTTTTATTAAATAAACATGGATTTTCAAATCTTGATATAAGGCGAAACTATTTTTCTGAAGTTATGCTGTATAAGGTCATAAGCAATCAAATAAACTGCAAATATCTATTACATATGCTTAATTTAAAAGTTCCTTGTCAAGCCCTAAGAAACACTGACTCATTTTACTTACCAACACCTTGTACTAATATTTTAAAGGACTCACCGTTGAATAATATGTGTAATAATTAAAATTGGATAAGTCAGGAATTAGATATATTCGACATTAGTCTTCAGGATATCAAAAGGCATTATTTAGGATAACCATCATTGTACTTAATTTCCTGTAATATTTTCCATTTTTATATGTTTCGTCTAAATATATTTGTCATATTTTCCTAATCTGTAATTGAGTATTACTTGTAGAATAGTGTATTTAATAAATACATAAATATTACTCAAAATATTTATTTTCTGTTTTTTTAAATCCACATTTTCTTTATTCGCCTCTTCATTAATTTTATGTTCATAGCCAATGTTTGGTGTATCAGTCTTATTTGTGAGAATTTTAGATTCTGCACTAATACAATTGCTAATATTTGTAGCTTTATTAACAAAATTGTTAGAGCTTTTTAGATCGATGTTTAAATCTGTATCAATTTGCTCTGGTTTTTCTATTTCGCTGGTATCGTGATCATTAAACCAGCCTGACATTTCCAAATTATTATCGATTTCGATAATCAGGTTTATTTCGTCAAACAATTTTATGGCCTATTTGTCAATGGATATGCAAATCCAAGAAAGATCATCTGTATTGGTTTCAGTCGTCGATGAATATTCAGCTGTAACATGATTAAATTCAGAAAAATTAAATTCTAATATGTCTTCTCGAAAATCAAGTAAATCTTTGGAAAATTATTTATCTTCATTTGAGTCTACATCGTACTTAATACTTTTCCATACATCAAATAACATGTTAGCTTCTTTGTTATGTTTCTTTCTTTTGTTGGTGCCTTTCTATAAACACTTTATTTTTTTTTTTCAACATAAGTCAAGCAGTCCTTCTTAAACTTAAGATAAATCTATTTTAACGATGTCTACATTTAAAGTTTGGTTTTCTTGGGATTAAACTAGAAGAGTCGAACTTTTATTGACACACTTACTGTAGTAGAAATTATTTGGTTCATATGAGAAAAGTCCACATTTTTGAAATCCATTAATTATTGTTGTTTGGAATTATATTTTTGTAAATATACTATTTAAAATATTTGTACATCTTGCTTGCAGATTTTCCTTCCGTTAGGTTTCACTCTCCACGTTCGCAATTCCTTTTTCATGACATTTGAGTGGGAAGAATACTGCTGTAAAATATGGGTGGTACTGTGATATAAAAACACCACAATTATGCCTTTATCTTTGCAAAATTTGCCTTACTGGAGCATTAAATGTCTATCCAAAAACACTCATACTGGCAAAGTGTACTTTTGTTCGATTAAAAACACGGATAAAAAAACGTTAACTATGTAATCGTTAAAAGCCTATACAGCCTCTACAGCCTCTACCCATTCTTGGATTTACTAATTCCGCAATTCCCAATGGCTTTCGACTGGAAGTATGTTGTTGAAATATTCTTAAAGTTATATAAAGTTAACGGGGCAGCATAATCGCCCACCGAAATAACAGCTAATAAAGTAGTGAAATTTTCTTTGTCACTATTCATAGACGTAACATACACGTGTTTGCCCTTCACAGCTATAACGCAGCCTCCACTTGGGTTAAGGTAGAATGTAAATGGAGTTTTTTGTTTGGTTTCATTGGCGATCTTTTGTACCTCGTAACACAGACCATCTTTGGTTACAGGAAAACCTTAATCACAAGACGATTTCATCCAATCACACAATAACTTTTTAACAATATCTCCCAAAACTCAATTCCATTCCATAGTTTTTTTAGTCGGGCACCAGATGCTTTATACCTAAGAGTCCTTTTTGGGGCCTGAAAGGTTTTGGAGGCTTTCAAAACAGGCATTCAATTCTTAATGGCTTAATGACTTTGAGATGTGGATAATATTTAGAATTTACGTCATGCTAGTCAAGCTACAATTATCCACAACTACCAAGACACCATGCTTCGTAGGAAAAGAACCATTTTGCTAATCTGGTACTTACAACAATGCAAGAAATACAATGTCACACCAAGATCAGTGTCGCTTCACTCCAACATCAACAATGCAACCCAACCTAATAAATTTATGTGGTCGACAGACTTTGAGCCTTTTACTTCCCTTTAATCTACTTCGAACCACTTTGAGATATGGATAATATTTGGAATTTACGTCATGCTAGTCAAGCTACAATTATCCAAAACTACCAAGACACCATGCTTCGTAGGAAAAGAACCATTTTGCTAATCTGGTTCTTACAACAATGCAAGAAATATAATGTCACACCAAGATCAGTGTCGCTTTACTCCAACATCAACAATGCAACCCAACCTAATAAATTTATGTGGTCGACAGACTTTGACCCTTTAACTTCCCTTTAATCTACTTCAGACCACTTTGAGATATGGATAATATTTGGAATTTACGTCATGCTAGTAAAGCTACA